TTATCACTTTACTTTCTCAATAAATTTTGAAAATGGGAAATTAAAAAGTAGCCAGCCAAGTTGATGGTACCATGGTGGACTTAAAAAACCAATATTTCAGTTAATGGGCTAAAACCATTACATATTACTTTGGATCGTTTCATGTGGTCTAAGCATTCTGGGCCTGAAAAACAACTGGGCTACTCAAGCGAGGCTCCAATAAAAGCACACCGTACATACAGCCAGCGTCAGAAAGGCAGTGTTCCAGTTGCCCATTGTTTTTAGATCCGTCTATATGCAATAGATTTGCGGACCCAAATCCAATCTAGCACCGCTAGTTGTATCCTCGACAAGTTGCGATCTCTCCAATCTCAGTTTCCTGTACGCATTCTCTAACTCGAATCCCTTGAAATGGTTTTTTAAATTTGAAATTCTGGGTTATACTTTTCTTTCTACCATCTTTGATTTTGTGGTATTATTCTTAGGTGAAAATTTCGGTTGAGGGAGCATTGGAGGTGATAGATGAATTTGTGGAGACAGAATACTATAGGGAGCTGGATTCCATAGACAAACAGCACCACACGGTATATAATTACACCCATAATCTTCCATTTTCTGAAATATTGATGATTCCTTTAGGATTGACGGAGTTTTGTGGCATTTATCATTGATTGATAAGATAATGGAAATGGGTTTACAAGGATGAAGGCGAAGAGAACAGAAAACAGAGTCGTCAGACCTCTTTTGGGAAGCAACCGTGCAACAAATGACTGGATTCCCAAGGAATTTTCCATTTTAGATTTTGATCAATTGATCACAATGCAAAGTGCAATCTTATATTTAAACACTAGTTTGAAAGAGAATAAAAGGCCTTATCTTGCACGGTTGATTTTCAGTTGTGAAAACACTTCACTGGCCGATGGGAAAGACTCATCTGTGGTGCTGTCCCTCAAAATGGGCATGTCGTCTCTCTCAATTTGCAGGCTATGTGAAGGGAGTCCCTGGACGTTAACCATTTGAAAACCAGAGGTAGCTTCAGTGGTGCTGTCCTCGTGGGGCTCTCTGCACACCGCAGTTTGCTGGAGTTGTAAAGCATACTCCAAGTCCCACAATACGTCGCCCATGCTAGGTCGATCCGCACCATCTTCCAGCAGACATTTCTCTGCTGTCTCTGCAAATTTCCTCAATGAATTGGGATTGATCTGACTCTTTATTGATGGATCCACGATCGTGTCAAGCAACCCCTTTCGGTGGCAAATAAGTCCCCATTCCGCTAAATTCACCTGTTCCCTAGGAAGCTGGGGATCTCTACTAATAGCCGGTCTTGCACATAACACCTCAAGAAGCACAACGCCAAATGAGTAAACATCGGATTTTTCAGTTAATTTTTGTGTTTGGAAGTATTCAGGATCAAGGTAACCGAATGTGCCTTTGATCCCTGTGTTTACAGAGGCTTGGTCCATCGGAGCTGACTTGGAGAGCCCGAAGTCTGCAACTTTGGCATTGAGGTTTTCACCGAGCAGGATGTTTGTCGACTTGATATCACGGTGGATGATTCCACCGGCAGAACCTTTGTGGAGGTAATTAAGGCCACTGGCTGCACCGATGCAGATTTGAAGCCTCCGTTTCCAGGGCAAACAAGGCAGGTTTGCACCGTAAAGATGATCTCGCAATGTCCCATTTTCCATGAACTCATAAACCAATATCATTTCAAACCTTTCATCACAGTATCCAATTAGGGAAACAAGATTGCGGTGGCGGATTTTCGATAGGATCATGATTTCTGTCTGAAACTCCGGTAAACCTTGGCTGGACCCCGGTTGACTCCGTTTCACAGCAACTTTCAAGCCATTTTTGAGTTTTCCTCTGTAAACATTCCCGAATCCACCCTTTCCGATCAGTAGCTTCTTATCAAAATTGTTTGTAGCAAACTGAATTTCAGCGAAGGGAATTCTCAAGCCAAGGTTCAAATTTGGGACAGGGGACACATTCATGGTTCCGTTGGTCCCCCTGCTATGGGTACTTTCGCTGCCGTGTACACTTAACGGCAACCAAATTGAAGTTTCAACTGGAGTTCTCTTCCTCTTCTTCAAAACAATAAACAATCCAACAGCGAAGACGCAAAATAGACCCCCAACAACAAGACCGACCACAAGGAAGACAGTTTTCTTAGTTTCATCGGACTTGATAACTAAACCTGATTCATCCATGATACCCATTATCTCCACTCCATTCAAAAACGCAGTATAATGCTCCAGCGAATCTTCCGAAGGACCAATGCAGATATTCATGACCCCCGATTCATCAGAATCAACTACAAAATCCAAGTAAAACGGTGACCCCACGTCACCAGCTGTGTCATAAGGAGAGATTTTCTGAGGGTAGACGCTATTAAGGTACAAGTTGAATGTAATGCTACCCGCTGATGTACCAACAATGTCACAGAAATGAACCCGAACAAAATGGCTAGAATTCTTAGACACAATGAAGGACCACGTCACATTGGATGTGTTTGAGAACTTACTACTATCTATGTTCATCTCAATGGCAGTTTGGTACACAGGATCAGGTGCAATAAACTCAGTAAATGCTCCTTGATAATTAGGCCTAGCCGAATAAGGTGTGCTCTTCTTTGCCATTCTTGGATTATTTAAAAATCCGTCATCAGGTATCCATGTCCTCCATAAGGTATCATTATCTGGTGTTACTTTTTCTCCCCCAACATTGATTCTGTAAATTGTCTGTAAAGCGCGGGAGAGTATACCACTGTAACTGTTATTAGGTGGTCTTGGAGCCTTGTCAGGGATGAAATTTTCTGGAGCAAGGAAGACTTCTATGGCGTTTATGAAGGCGAAAGAGTATCTTTGAGGGGTAAAGTAGATTGAAAATTTTCCTTGAGTGATGTTTAGGAAGAATTCGTTTATGAGAGGAGAATTGCTATCGTTGGTACTGCTTCTTAGAATGGTGAAATTTTTCAACAGGGGAAATTGAGCAGTTGAAACATCAAAAATAGCTGTGGAGACATTAGTTGAATTGAAGAAATGAAGACGTACCAGATAAATCCCCCCGGTGTCGATGTCGAAGTCATAAGAAGATTGCTGTTTGAAAATTCGTGCTGTTTGGTACAGAACATCTGATATCTGGCTGTTTGTTATGACAGAGCTTTTCCGTTTGGTAAAAGACAAGGAAACTGGGTAGATCAAATCCCCGACGAAAGTCCGGCCACCGCTGCCGCTAGCGTTGGCTTTTGAGCCACAGTCGATGAAGAAGTGATCTGGGGGAGTGTAAGCTGCAGGGGAAAGCAGGATTGAGAAGAAAAAGAGGAGAAAAAGAAGAAGTTTTCCCATTTGCATGGTTTGATTGTTTCTGGGTTTTCGAATTGGAGAAAACGGGGAAGCCAGAGCTTGATTGGAAGTGTGGAAGATGTGATGGTTGAAGACAAGTCAACATGTGGAGTCAATGGTTGAAAAAATCAACACAAGGCAACTTGATATTTTTGTGGCAGCTGGCAAGCACCATCGAGGACAGCACATGGAAGATTTAAAACTGCTACAATAACTGAGATAACATATTAATTATTGTATTTGGGAAAGTGTGTATATATATATAAATATCAAACTATTTATATATAAATTTTTCTTAGTATATTTACATAAAAATTAATTTTATTTATTTATTTATTTTTAAAATTTAAAATATTTATTTATTTATTTAATAATATATAAAAATCATATAAAAAGATAA